GCTGGTAGTAGCTGGCTGACGGCTACGCTGTCTCCGCAGGCACGTGGAGGACAAGTCGACGGTGTTTGGCACAGCGCTCAACTACGTAGCCCTGCGGATCCTGGGGCTCGGACCGGATGACCCCGACGTCGTGAGGGCCCGCGTCAACCTGCACAGCAAAGGTCAGCTCCGTCGTGGCCAGCACAGCGGCCGCGGGGCTGGTACGCTGGGGAGAGAGGTCTGGCCGGACCCAAGGGCTGCGGGGAGCGTGGGGGGCTGTCAGGTAGCAGAGAAACTGTTGCTCTTGCTTGCCCTTGATGACAGCTGCGCTTTCAAGTAGTGGTAGGAAAGCGTGTTATGTTTTCGTGCCGTCGCCTGCTTGCCCTTTTTTGGGACGTGTCCCAGCCCGCATGGCGTGCCTCCAAACCTGGGGAGAAGCGGGCCTTGCAATGGGGAAGACAGCAGGGAGCTGGCGTGGTTGCGTTTGGCCTGAAAGCGGGTCTCGCTCTCTGCAGGAGGTGCTGTGGGAATCCCTTCCTGGGGGAAGTTTTGGCTGGCTGTGCTGAACGTTTACAGCTGGGAGGGAATGAACACGCTTCTCCCAGAGATGTGGTATGTGCCGCCCTCAGCGTGGAGGTGGGGGTATTGTCAGTCCTGCCACCAGACCCACCCAGCGCTTCCCGGGCGCTGGTGTTTGCTGGGGTAACTCCAGCTGTGGCCTGGAACCGGGGGTGCTCAGGCTGCCTGTCAGCTGGGAGGCCAGCAGCAAGGCCAGCCAGCGGGGGGACAGCACTGAACGCTGCGCCGAAGGGAGATGCCAGAGCTCAGCCCTCTTGGCTTTTACCCACCCTGATACCTCCGTGTGCTCCCTGCCTGCCACCAGTATCCTCTGCTCGGAACTGGGCCCTAGCAGGGCAGGACAGCCACATGTGAGGCTGCCAGCCCTGACCATCACTCGTACCCTCCCCAGTTACTCAGAGAGCCACGGGGTGTCAGGGAAAGCGTGTGGCATTTTCCCTGGGGGAGATCAGGGGCTGCACAGTACCGAGGGCCGCCGGTGCTTTGTCATCAAACGCACTGAACCGTCAGTCTGGGCCTCTGCCTGCAGAGTCGCGTGGGGAAGAGAGGGACCCCTGAACTGACTGCTTCCCTCCCTCCTCCCCGAGCCCAGGACCCTGCCTGCCCTGTGTCAGCTAGGCCGGGAGCGGTGTCTGCTGGCCCTGGTGGGGAGGGTCTGAGCAGGGCCAGGCTGTGTGGATATTGCCTGCTTTTCTCCTGCAGTTGTACCAGCAGCAGCAGGCCTGGGACAGGGGATAGGGAACAGCATGCCCTGCTCCGGGCATCCCCCTGTCAGCACCTCATGCTGCCCTTGGCCCTCCTGACAGTAGCACCTTCTCTGTTGCAAACAGGCTGCTCCCTACGTGGTTCCCAGCCCACCCGTCCCGGCTCTGGTGTCACTGCCGCCAGGTTTACCTCCCCATGAGCTACTGTTACGCCAAGCGTCTGTCAGCAGAAGAGGACGAGCTCATACGGAGCTTGCGGCAGGTAAAGAGCTGACCCTGGTGGGGCTCCCTGACCAGGACACGTGGCTCGCTGACCGTTGTGCCAGGAGCTGTACGTGCAAGACTACGCCAGCATCGACTGGCCAGCCCAGAGGAACAACGTGGCCGCCTGTGACGTGTACACCCCGCACAGCTGGCTGCTGGGGGCTGCCTACGGTGAGCGCGGTGTCGCCTGGGGCAGGAGGGCCCTTCTCGTGTGAGCTGGTGTTGGTGGTGGAACTAAAGCTGCCTTGTACCATGGGGGCTCTTCAGGGTCTGCAGCCAGCTACCGGTATGTGCCCTGGAGCTGGGATCGAGACGTGGATTGTGTGATCACTGGGCTTCTCCCTCCCTGAGAGCAGCAGAGCCTCGTGCCCAGAGCCTTGGGCCACTCCAGGGCAGAGCAGTTCCCATGCTTTCCTCGGCTGGTCATCACATGAGCAGTGGTGCAGCCCTCCACAGCAAGTGAATCTGGCTGCGTGGGGTGGGTTTCTCACTGCGTGTCCCTTTTTTCTCCTGCAGCCATCATGAACGTGTACGAAGCCCACCACAGCACCCACCTGCGGCAGCGAGCCATCACAGAGCTGTACGACCACATCAAAGCTGATGACAGATTCACCAAGTGCATCAGCATTGGGCCGGTAGGGCACTTGCTGTCGATACTATAAAATCTTGCCCTTCGCTCTTTAGGGACCGGCGTGCGGCCCCCCAGCCCTGTGCAGCTGGGGCGTGTGACCAGAATCCCCAGATCTTGCCCAGACGCAACTCCCGCTGCTCCTGATGCTCAAGGGCTCAATGCTGACAGGGCGCAGAAGGTGCAGCAGGCGTGGGGGCAGCGGTGGCCCTGGTGAGGGGTACCTCTCCTTGTGGTCCAGGGAAATGATCTGAGGGGAAGCTCTGGAGTAAACTGTCGGGATTAAGCCCAGGACCACCTCTGGATGGCTTTGTGCTGAGTGGGAGAGATGTATGTGTCTGGAGCTGGAGGAAGCTGTATCCAGGGCAGTGACAGTGCTGCTTTTGTCAGATTTCCAAGACGATCAACATGCTGGTTCGCTGGTTCGTGGATGGGAAGAACTCTCCAGCTTTCCAGGAGCATGTTTCCAGGATCCCCGACTACCTCTGGTAAGGGCTGAGCGTGGCTCTGATCCCAGTGGAGTGAGCATGCTGTGGCTCCCGACCCGCTCCCTGGCACTCTCGCTGTGCCCGCGCTGCAGCACTCTGCTCTCTCCTCCCACAGGCTGGGCCTCGACGGCATGAAGATGCAGGTGAAGTGCTGTAGGAGTTCAGCTGTGACTGAGAGGGACCCTGGCATGCTGGGGCAGCCCATGGAACAGTGGGATAGCTTGTTGACCCTGGGCCTGAGCTCCTGGCGTCTCACCTTCGGTGCCTGGTGGCCTCGTCTGTCTCGCTGCCGCTTCCCCTGGCTGTGCCATCCTGCTAGTTTGCCTTTCTGTAGCTGTGAGCTGGGGGGGCAGCTCTAGGCCTCCCTCCCCTTCATCCCCTGGGAGAAGGGAAGGAGGAAGACAGGCTCCTGATACTGCGTGTGGATTGAGCTGTGCGTGTCCTGTAGCCATTGCATCCCTCTGCTCCTTATCACTAGCCACCCCTCCTGTCTTGGCTGTGCACAGAGCAGGCTGAAGCAGCTGTCTCATTTCCTATCCCCTTGCTGTCCCTGAGCTGCTGCGTCTGTCCCCTCTATGCCAGCACATCAGCTGTGACGCTGGGTGACATAAAACTGAGACGGAGGGATGTGCTGTCCCGTAGACCCCACAGCTGGGTTAGGCTGCTGCCAGCACCTGCCCCTCACTGTCTGCTTTCTCTCTTCCAGGGCACAAATGGATCCCAGCTCTGGGATACGGCGTTTGCCATCCAAGCCTTCCTGGAGGTAACGCCCCCCTCAGTGCTAGATGCTGCCTTAGGAACATGGTCCCTCCTGGCGCGTCCCCAGATCCCAGCAGCTCCTACTGTGCATCCCCTCAGAGCTCTGCTGTGCCAGTTCTGGCATTGCATTGTACGACTGAGCCGGGCAAACACGCGTTTGGTGGCCACAGCCCCTTGCTGACTGCTGACCGTGAACCTCTTTTTCTAGGCAGAAGCCCAGAAGATGCCTGAATTAACATCCTGCCTACAAAATGCCTACGAGTTCCTCCGGTTCACCCAGGTGAGCGGTGGTGCCTCTCACACGCTGGCTGTGCAGACTTGGCTGCTCCTCAGAGCCCTGTTGGATGCGTCTGTTGCCTTCTGAAGAGCTCTTCTGAAGGCCTGGACTAGCAGAGTCCTAGGGACAGCTTGCCGTTTTCTGCTCCCTGTTGGTGGGAGCCATCTTTGCAGCTTGGAGAGGACCTTGGCCAGGCCTGGGGATGTTTGGGTTGGCTGCCTGGGCTGAGAGAGGCTGGAAAACTGAGAGCCTAGGCTTCTTTGCCCTTCGTCCTGTCTGGTGCCCACACGTTTGAGGCACGCTTCTGGGAAACTCAGGCTCCTTGGCTCAAGGTGGGAGTCACCATCTCCAGCAGCTCGGTGCAGATGCAGTCGTAGGTCTTGCTTACGGTGCTGCCATTGGGAGCGTTGAAAGCAGATGGCTCCCTGGCAGGAAAGTACTCAAAGAGGGGACTTTAGCAACACTTGCTGAAACCAGGCCAAAATGTGATTTCTCTTCAGCACTCCCTGCTCCAGAGCTGACCTCTTTCCCTGTCTGCCTCCCTCAGTAAAAGACAGGTGGTGCCCAGTCCCACACGGTTCTGCATCTGCGATGGTTTCAGCCCATGGTCCTGCAGCCAGGCACCTCCAGCCTGCCCTCACTTGTTTCTTGTCTCCTGCAGATCCCAGAGAACCCACCCGACTACGAGAAATATTACCGCCATATGAACAAGGTCTGGTTGGAACTGGTCTCTGAAGGACGGGTGAACGGGCCAGTGACTTGGGCAGAGGGGATGGGAATGAGGGGCAGCACCTCGCCCCTGACAAGAGCAGAACAGATCAGGGGAAGGTGCTGAGCCCTCCTGACCGCTTTCCAGGGTGGCTTCCCCTTCAGCACCCGAGACTGCGGCTGGATCGTGGCAGACTGCACAGCAGAGGGACTGAAGTCAGTTATGCTGCTGCAGGAGAAGTGCCCCTTCATAGCCAAGCTTGTCCCGCCTGAGCGCCTCTTTGATGCCGTGAATGTGGTGAGCGCTGCAAAAATCGGGGCCGAGGGAAATTCAGACAGCTAAACCGAGCTAAAAGAAGAGAAGTCAAGGCCTGAGGAGTTGTTAGATGTAGTATTACTAAGCAAGGCCTGTGGCCTGGTATGGCAACACCGTGTTTTCTGTGGTACGGAGCTACGTATGTGGCAGAATGTAACGTGGTGGTCCAGACTGGGCCTGCCTGTCAATATGGTTTGGCACTGGGGCTGTCTGCCAGCCCCGTGGACTTGTGGGACTGACTTTGTCCCTCACAGCTGGCTTGGGGACAGGCTGGGGTGGTACTACCTGTGAGCCAGTCCCAGGCCCTCTCTGCTTCTCTGGGCAGTTGCTGAGCATGAGGAACTCGGACGGAGGCTTTGCCACATACGAAACCAAGCGAGGAGGCCACTTG